TTTCGGTGGTTGTGGTTATGGGTTTTGGTGGTGGGGGTGAGTTTTGGTGGTTGTGGTGATGGGTGTTAGTGGTGGGGGTGGGCTGTGGGTATCGGTGAGGTTGGATTGGGGGTGGGTTTTGGTGGTTGTGGTAATGGATTTCGGTGATGGGGGTGGGCTGTGGGTTTTGGTGGTGGGGTTGGGGTTGTATTGGAGGTGGGTTTCTGTGGTTTCAATTGTGGGTTTCGGTGGTTGTTATGATGGGTTTCAGTGGTGGGGGTGGGCTGTGTGTTTCGGTGGTGGGGTTGGGGGTAGGTTTCGGTGGTGGGGTTGGGTGGTCAGTGGGGTTGGGTGATGGGATTTGAGTGGTGAATTTTTGGTATAATACCAAACATATTTTTTATTTTTGTTTTCACCATTTTTTAAATATAAATGACTACCAAATATGTTTTATATTTTTAATTTTTATAACAGAAAATATAAAAATTAGTTTTAGTTTTTTATTAGAAAAAAATATAAAAACAAAAACATTACTAAATGCACCCTTAGAGAACAAGTTCGAACTGTGTTGTGTGTTTTTTGAAACAATATTTTCAGAATTTAGAAAACACCATCACCACCCCCACCCCCACCACACTCCCACCATCGCATCATTTCTGTTTTTATTATTTTTTGAGTTATTGTTTAAATAAGTTTTACTGTTTTCTATTTCGTATAACTGTTTTTGGAATCATATAACTAAACAAATTATGGAACACAAAAATACTAAAACACAGTTATCTAAAACTCTTCCCAAAAAAAATTGAGACATGTTTTTTAAAACACAAACCAATATTGTATTGATCATTGCAACTCTAACTCTGGCTCGATAAATTGCATTGTGTTTGATTTTTGTTTTCTCCCTGAATCGATCTTCAAGTGCTGAGTTGGGCTAACGAGATATCAAAGTATTCCATGTGGAACATCACGGTGTTTCTATCGGATGTTTGGAAGCTAAATTTCACCCATACTGCGGCCATTGTGAGCGTCATGATAGGCTCAGTACATATTATGTTATTCACCATGACGTTCCTCGTGGAGACTTTTGTTGGTGACTATTGGATTATCTCTGTTTCAAGCCTTTCATCGACCATAGTAAGTTTGCTCTCTGTTCCCTCTTCTCATCTTTGATATGATGGAGCAATACATTACAATCGGGAGCTCTGTTTGTCCCATTTTTCTTAGTGATTTAAAATTGAGCAAATAGTTAGACATAAGAGAATGTCTAGAAATTTTTATTTCCAGATTTAGAATATATTGGTGTTAGTATATACCTTGTTTATTAGAATATTGATTGAATATGGACCATTGCTTCGGCTTAGAATACGATTAATCCAATATGGGCTACATGAACCCCTAGTAGTTTAGCAAATAAATTGATAAGTCAGGCATTCCTAGCCCACCAAGCAAAATCGATGGTTTCTTGATTACGACCAGCTAAAGCTAAAGTTCTATTAAAGAGCGTTTCCATTAAAGGTTTTAGCGCCGGTGTATCCTATATATACTCCAATTTATTCAAAGTATTGTTTCAATTTCGATATTTTGATAAAATTTGTTGAAAAATATGGACATTTTTTGTTTTCTGAAGTACTAGCACATATGTGCAGTGTTGGAGCTTCTTGGCAATTTCAACATCTTCAATCTTCTTTAGCTTGCCAACGATTTCACGTGCAAGTAGTTCCTTGTCTTGGAGATTTGCAATGGCGCCTATTTTACACGTCGATACCTCTAATGGCTGTTGGAGTTACTGGCCAATTCACCTACGCATTCTTGCTTCAACAAATACCATTGATTAGATCTGTAGAGGATCAACAACAACTGATCAACCAGATGCCTCAAATAATGTTTGGCGGTACCATGACCTTGTTTATTTGTGTTGGTTACAACGTTGTTCTTCCCTTTAGACAACCATGGGGGGCTCGTTTTGGGATTCGAACAATTTGCTTGGTGGTTGCTACTCTTCAGTTTTCTTGAGATCATCTTCTTACATTCGTGTCAAACCATCTAGAAGTTGAATCACAAGCTTGTTTAGAGTTATTGTGGCAGTTTGTATAAAGATTCAGCTTCTGTGCCCACAGGATCCTAGGGAGCTCTACGAAAAGTATGACCTTGGAAACGATCAGGAGCTGCTGCCTCACAAAAACTGTCTTAGGTGATGACCTTCGTCCTTGTTGAGCTGCCATATATTCTAAAAGCTTAAACTGCTAAAAAACCTGTAACATAAATGTTTATATAATATCCCTTTCCTCAATTACATGACTGATGACTGGTGAGGTTGTGGAAACAATTTAGCTTGCTGGGGTTAGGAGCGCATATAACGATATGTCACTTAGCACATTGTGACTTTCACATTCAACATCTTGAATTCTTTCTCTTAACACATACTTAATCTAGCAGGTTTCTAAACAAAGCAGCCATCCTAACCGGATCACAAACTATTGAGGAACAAGAGAACCAGAAATGAAGGCTTTGCAGGATCACTGAAGTGGAAGAAACTAAAATATTCTTCACAATGATTCCCATGTTGATGCCTTTTATCATTTGTGGAACTGTTTCCTCAATGGCGACCTTTTTTTTCCTAGAGCAAGCCATGAGTATAACTCATAGATTCAGGTTCTTAACATTCTCATTCCTTATATTCTTCTATGCATTCTCCATGTATATATCCGCAAGCATTTATGCTTTAATTGCAATCATTAGAAGCATTTTTGGAATGGTGAAGCAGAAACACATCCTTGCAATAGAATTTGCATTTGGAATCATGATATCCATTTTTTGCTGCATTGTCGCCGTNGTCTCTAGTCTCATGCTAGTATATAGTGGTAAGAAACAAACTGAATTCGAGTGAAAGCAGGAGGTTTCAAGCTCTCTATCAACTTGGGTTCGTGGAACAGTTGTTCGTTCAAATTAAGAAAAATTATCAATTGTAAGTTCTCTAGCTCTATTGTTTAAAATGTAAATCTAGTAGTTTTCTTAAACTTTAGTTTGAGATTCTATATGTTTTAGACAAGAGGAAGAGAAGCATTTGATCACACCTCAATCTTGAGCAATACTTAAGAAAATTTAATTTGTTATTTATTTATTTTTTCACTGGGAGGATTAGAAATCTATTTTTATTACATTTTGTAAAAAAGGTTAAGACACCAGTTAATTAGTCAAACTGACAGTATGCTCCATTAAAGTGGACTCACCTAAGAATGTGGCTGCAAACGCAGTTTTTTTTTTTTTTTTGTCTAATGCAATTGAGTCATAAATTGGAGACATAATGAGTTATCATCAATAAAATATATTTAATGATGAGTTTCATTATAGCATTAAATGAATTCATTTTAATATCATTGATAACAACTCATTATGTTCTTAAATTATGTCCATAAATTATGTCTAAATAATATTATTTTATTTTTTTTAATAATGGGACCCACAAACGCAGTTTTTTTTATCGATGTGTATTTGAGTGAGTTGTTGTATGTTTTCGATGTATGTGAATGTCTGATGTGTGCAACACTCTGTTGCAACAGTAATGCCACGCTGCCCGACTATTTACATTAGCACCAGCTTTTGAGCACTGTCCCACGTTCCATCTCTGTCCTTNGTTAAATGTGGCCAAGGGACATGGCCTAATCGACGTCCCTCATAGCACAATCCCAATTAGTATTTTCTGGCTGATTCCTTAGTTTCTCCTCTTAGGTGTTGCACAAGGGATTGTCCTTAGTAACATGACCCATTGTTCAATGGCAATGGGTACCTTTAGAGCTTCCCCTTGTTCAATGGCAAGCCTTCCTTGCTTGTAAGTCCTTTGGGTACCTTTTGTTCATCGAGTTACATTGAAATAATTAATCAATTGTGTCACATATATCTATTTACTCAAAATCTCACTTTGTTTTTTGGGACTTTCAAAATTGCTGGTTTAAATTTCACTATTAATTTGGTATCCTTTTTGTGGAAAAAAAATGCATTTAATAATCCATTTTTATCTTCCCTCTTGTGCTTTCTCTTCCCCTCCCCGTTTAAAATGAAATATCAAAACTGATTGGCTTAAAAAAAAAATCCAAATCTTACTAGGAATTATTTTAATAAAAAATGAATATAAACATTGTGTTGTATAAGGATTAGGGTTAATTGTGATGATGCACAAATTGGTATTATACACCATCTGTTAAGTAGCTAGTAGTTAATGCAGTAATTAAGAAAAGAAAGATAACACGAGCAAGAAACAAATATAGAGTGGTTCGATCAATATGATCTACTCCACTATAAAGGGCTAGGATGGCCTGGGTATTTTATTACCGTAAGAGTGTAGGGAGATCAGACGAGAGCTCAAGTGAGGTATAAGCTGTGAAAGAGGTGAGAGTGATGCAAGATGTGTTCGATGCCCCCCATTAGTAGGCGGGGCTTACATTTTATACTCACCTCCTAACAGATTAAGGCAGTTTATCAGTAACTAAAAGACTAATTTGGTGGAGGTGGCATGATCTTCTCAACGGATGAGGCTGTTGTGGGGTGCTCCTTAAGACCAGGTCTTAGGATGATGTGACCCTTACTCCAAGGTGGCGTGGATGGGATTCGTGGGATGGCGCTGCCTACTCCTTGATGACGTGGCTCTTGGAGCCTTGATGAGCTTGACTAGGTATAGATCTCTCTTTGGGCTTGGTCCATCGGATTTTGTCCAAGTGAGTCCTTTATTCAAGTTGGGCCCCCTTAGCCTGTATTGGGCCTTGGGCCGGTCCCATCATTTGCCCCCAAATGCCCCGAGTCCAATGAGACTTGGAGAAGAGGGCATTTGCACTTGGACTCTGATTGACGAAGACTCCTCTTGACTGATGACTCCTCTTTCCCGTTCTTGATATAGTTTATCTTGCTACGAGCTATGAAAACTTTTCCCCATTCTACAACTTACTAGGATTTAAAAACCCCAGGCTATAAATAGGGATTGTCGCCTTACTTCGATCCATTTATCTTGAGAGAGGGTTTCTTGTGAGATGCTCAAGAAGAAGAGTAAGGCTAGTGGTTTTACTCCTGACTTAAGTGCCCAGAGATCGATGTCGAGTGAAAGAAAGGAGATGCTAGGGGCCCTTAATGTCGATGGGGAATCAAGGAGTGGTGGAGTTATTGATGTTGATGCAAGAGAGGTGAACATTGGCAAGACCATGGGTGTTGGTGAGGAGAGGATCCAAGCAGGCCAAGATGGTACCGAAAGGGAGGCGACCTGGACATCTGGCACCGAGGGTGAGGAGGAAACAAACACCGAAGGCATGGCGCCACTGGATAGCGCCATGGGCGTCGTGTGCTAGCAAGGTTGATTACGGAAGGATAGGCTCGCTGGGGACAACTCACCTGGGCTCCAAGTGCATGGGTGAGCTTGGGTACCCGACGCGAGGCAACCTAGTTGGGCACCGAAGACAAGGCGACCCAGCTAAGTGCTGAAGGCGAGGCGGCCTAGCCAGGCATTGAAGGTGAGGTGTCATGGACGCCAAGGGCTGGCGGCCTTGCCGATCGCAGAGTGCTGCTGGGCGATGAGCGCAAGCAGTGGAACCTGCAGGTGGTGTCGCTAGGCTAGTGCGCTAGTGGCATCGCTGAGTGCTGGGCGTGACCAGACGAGTATGGAGGCAGCATTGTACACGGTGGGTGCTGGGCACGGAACTTCGGAGCTTGGGCATAGAGCTATGGTGGAGGTTTCACCATTAAACGTTGGTGTTTTTAGGTGGCAACGACTCCAGATCCTCGCACTAGCAAACATCGAGGAAAGGTAGCTCTTGAAGACGATGGATCCAAGGTAAGTACTATTTCTAGTACTCTCAATACTAATACTGACATTCTCTGGATTTTTTTCACTTATAACATTCTTCCAATGGTGCTGTGTCGTCGAGCTGAAATGGGTGAGCCTGCTTGTGATGAATCTTCTGGTGATATCACTATTTGTGAGGAGGCGTTTGAGGCAGAGCTAAGGTGTCCCATGCCTTCTTCTCTCTGTCGTATCCTCCATTGTTTTTTACTTGCGCTAGGGCGTTTGACACCTAATGGTTGGAGAGTTCTTCTGGGATTTTTGGCACTATGGAGGAGAGTGTATCATGAGGATACTTCTCCTGAGGATTTTTGTGCGTCATATACTTTGAGTGAGACCTTCGCTCTTAATCATGACTGATATTACTTTACTCTAAGGGGAAGAAAGCTAATTGCTGGGCTACACTCCAATTGCCATAGTTGGAAAGCTCGCTTCCTCTTTGTTGGTGGAGAGTGGGCTTTAGAGGCTGACAGGGCTTTGGTTTCGACGAGATGGGATACTCTTAGTAGAATTAGTATGACTGCTTTTATTTTTCTTTACTTTTCTCGCAAATGTGTGCTTATTAGATTTTTTTTTTTAGGCTCTCTGGCGCTTTCAAAAGATCAGGAATGGAAATTGCAGGCTGTGAAGGCTTATCCTGTTAAGGATTTCAAGACCCTCATGCTTAAGGAGGGTGAGGCTAGGGATTCCCCTTCTAGAGGTGCTAAAGTCGGTGCACCTTTTTCCAGGCCTGGTAGCTGCTTTTTGAAGAGAAAAGGTATGTTGACTCCCCTAGATTTTCCTTCCTTTACTTGGCTTTTCTTCAGGGTAACACTTTACCCCTCTACAGTGGACAGGACAGTGGTGGAGTCCCGTTACTCCACTAAGAATACTTCTCCACCTAAGATGGCTAGGGTAAGTAATGCTCTAGTGGGCCCTTCTAAGATGACCCCTCCAATGGCGCCTCCCTAGTTAACGACTCCTTCAGAGGTTCCTGCAGTGACCGCCCCTTTAAAGACTTCCTAGGCGACCACAACTCCTACCCCCATTTATCGAGCCCTCTTGCAGGGACTTCCACCAGGGCAGGCTCTCAGACTGTCTCCATGTTGGATGATGTGCAGATTGTTAGGGAATGACTTGGGAGATTCGTGTTCCTTGTAAAGATTGGGCAGGTTGGTGCTTGGAGCACTGAGGGCATTATCGACACCATCTTGGAAGACTTGGCACAATTTGACTTTTATATATTATATATCACTACATTAATCGTTATGTTCTATAATATTCAACATTTATTTGAAATTAACTAGTAAAGATCTATTCTCTTCCTTGCCTTTGTGCTTTCTCTAGGCACTAACCTTTCCTTTATCTTTTTCCAGGTTTCAGCCGTATTTGTATGCCTTTTTTCAAGTGCTATTCAGCTTAATAATCTGAGCACGACCGTTAGGGAGGAGAGACTTGCTCATGAAGCTGTGAAAAGGGAGCTATTAGCAGCTCAAGAGAGGATTGCTAAGCTCGAGGCTGATGGTGAGCCTTTCAAGGTTGAACCTGTGTTGACCCGTGAGAGGGCCGCGCTTAGAGAGGCTACTTGCACAAGGGCTAAAGCAGAGCTTGTTACCACTAGCGAGAGGGCCGCTAAGCTTGAGGCGGAGCTTATGGTGACCCGTAAGAGGGTTGCTAAGCTCAAGACAGATGGTGAGGCTACCCACTTGAGAACGGAAGCAGAGGTAAAGATAGCTCGCAAGAAGGTTTCCCGAACTGAGACAGATCTGCAGTTGGCTCATGAGAGGGCCACCAAGGCCAAGGTTGATTCAGAGAGCGGCCTTGTAGATGCCGTTATTGATGGTTACGAGGAGATTTGGGAAAAGATTTCTACTGTTTTTCCTGATATTGACTTTTTCAGGCTTTGTCCCGTATGAGGCTCCTGATGATGCTGATAGTGATTCTGACGGTGCAAAGGATGCGGATGAAGAGGATGACAACCATGAGAGAAATTAGAGTGCTGGATACTTTTGATTTTTTTTTGTAGAAAGGTAGTGTGTAGCCTTACTTTTGTAAAGGTGATTTTTTGCCACTGATGTTCAAATAGAATGCAAATGACCTTTTGGAATAAATTTAGAAAACTGTATTTGAATGTTCATGCTAAGTAGGGGTGGGTAATAACCCAAAAAGGTACAAGTTTTTTGAAATGATAAAATCAAGCCCCCTAGCTTTATTTCTTCTGCCCTACTTAAGTGTCATTGATAGTACGTCTTTAGGTGCTCAACATTCCATGGATGAGGTAAGATTTTTTCCTTAGAATTCTAGATCCTATAAGTACCTGACCTCACTATTTCTGTTACGAGGTAGGGTCCTTCCTAGTTTGGTCCAAGCTTTCCTTCTCGTAAATCTTTCGTGGTGAGGATTACTTTCTTGAGAACTAAGTCTCCTGGTAGGAAGCAATGAGGCTTCACCCTCGAGTTATAGTACTTTGTCATGTGGCGCTTGTACTCCTCATTCCGGACCATGGTTATTTCTCTTTCCTCCTCCACCAAGTCGAGGTTGATGCGAAGTCCTTCCTCGTTGGTGATGGGGTCGTGGTGTTGGACCCTCAGAGAATATATCCCAATCTCCACAGGTATCACTACTTTAGTTCCAAAGGCCAGTGAAAAAGGAATTTCTCCAGTCGGGGCCCTTGGTGTCATTCGATACGCCCATAATACTCCCGGGAGTTTGTCTATCCAGAGACCCTTTGCTCTTTCCAGCCTCGTTTTTAGGTTGTGTAGTACTATCCTAACTGTGACTTATGCCTGTTTGTCTGCCTGCAGGTGTGCTGGGTTGGAATAAAGTTGCTTTATCTGGAGGTCGGGACAGAAAGAGTTCAGGAGTTTGTTATCGAACTATTTGGCGTTGTCACTGACTATGGCGTGGAGTACTCCAAAGCGACAGATTAGGTTTTTTCAGATGAAGTTCTTGACCTTTACGTCTGTTATCTTGGCTAAGGGTTTGGCTTCCACCCATTTTATAAAGTAGTCAATAACTACCACCATAAATTTGCACGGTCCTCTACTCAGAGGTAGAAGGCCTAAGATGTCGATGCCCCACTTGAAAAAGAGCCAGGGACTTGTGATGGCTGTCAGTTCCTCCGATGACTGTCTGGGCACAATGGCAAAGCGTTGGCACTTATCGCATTTCTTGGTGAATTTCTGTGCATTCCTAACCATGCTAGGCCAATAGTAACATTGTCTGATTGCTTTATGGGCTAGGGAGTGACTTCCAGAATGGTTTCCACAAACCCCTTCATGGATTTTTCATAGAGCACAGTTAGCTTCCTCTGGGGAGAGGCATCGTAGTAATGGTAGGGAGTAGCCTCTTTGTATAGGACGCCCTGTAGGATGATGTACTTGGAGGCTCTCATCCTAAGCCTCTTGGCTTCAGATGGGTTATCTGGTAGTGTGCCCTCCTGAAGATATGCTCTAATTGGGGTCATCCAATTTGACTCAGAAGATATGCAGCTGACATTTGTGGCCTCCATGCCTGGTTTGCTTGGTTCAAACTCGTGACCTATGGAGACGTCTTCTCTTAGAATATGGTGACTTTGGAAATGACAAAACTTGGTTAGTAAGGCTTGCACCATTGTCAAGTATTCTTACATCCTGGGCTCTTTTGCTTTGAACTTATACTTCACTTGGTTGACTATCAACTGAGAGTCACCATAAGTAATGAGGTGTTGGGCTGCCATTTCAATTGCTAATCTTAAGCCGGAGAAGAGGGCTTCGTATTCTACTTCATTGTTGGAGGTTGTAAAGTGAAGCTTTACGACGTCCTTGATTGGAGTGCTATCCGGGCTAGTCAGGGTTAGGCTTGCTCCACTTATTTTGTAGGTTGAAGAGCCATCCACATAAAGCTTCCAGAAGGGTAGTAGAGAAGGGGCCTTGGGGGCATTGGTGGAGGCCAAGGTATCAGCTTTGGGCGCTAGGGCAGGGCACCAGGTTGTCCTGGGTGCCAAGTCTAGGTGCCTGGTTGCCCTGGGCGCCAGGTCTAGGCGCCTGTGTGTCTAATTGGACTTTGGATGAGGCTTCTTGGATCTCTTTCAGCGATGTTGAAGGTTCACCAAATTCTTCTCCCACCAGTGTGAGGTCGACAACGAAGTCTGCCAAGGCTTGTGTTTTGATGGCTGCCCTTGGTTGGTATTGCACATCCAAATCGCTCAGCTCTATTGCCCACTTTAAGAGTCTTTTAGAAACATCTGGCTTCCCCATAACCTTTTTTTGAGGTTGATCCATGGCAACGATGATAGTGTGACTTGGGAAGTAGTGGCAAAGACGCCTCGCTATTGAGATTAGGGCGAGTGCTAACTTGTTTAGCCCTGAATACCTTATGATCCCTGGTATGCTGTGCTCACATAATAAATGGGCCTTTGTAATCCTTCGTTATCTCTAATAAGGACAGAACTTACTGCAGATGGGAAAGTGGAAAAGTACAAGTACAAAGTTTCTCCTGGCATGACATGTGAAAGGAGGGGGCGCAGCCAAATAAGCTTTTAATTTTTGAAAAGCTTCTTCTGCGTCGGGTTCCCACTCAAAGGCTTTTTGAAGAATTCTGAAGAAGGGTAGGCACTTGTCTGTTGACTTGGAGATGAATCTATTAAGGGTTGCTTTTCTTACATTGAGGCGTTGGAACTCCTTGGTTATGGTGGGCGATCTCATTTCCAGAATGACTTTGATTTTATCTGGATTTATCTTGATTCCTCTTTGGTTGACCATAAAGCCCAAGAACTTTCTTGATCTGACGCCAAAGACGCACTTCTCAGGGTTCAGCTTCATGTGATACATTCTGAGAACATCGAAAGTCTCTTGTAGGTGGTCTAGACTCTTTACCAGTATATCGTCCACATATACCTCATTGTTCTTCTAATTTGTGACTGGAACATCTTGTTCACCAACTGCTGGTATGTCATTCCTACATTTTTTAGATCGAAGGGCATGACCTTGTAACAACAGGTGCCCTTTAAAGTGATAAAGGATGTCTTCTTCTGGTCTGGGGGACACATGCTGATCTGGTTATATCCAGAGTATGCATCCAGGAAAGTAAGCGGCTCATGTCCTACGGTAGCGTCGATGAGAATGTTGATTCATGGCAACGGGTAGCTGTCTTTAGGGCACACCCTATTGAGTCGGTGAAGTCAACGTAGAGGCGCCACTTTCCACTAGCTTTGGTTACCATCACCACATTCAACAGCCAAACTGGATAGGCCATCTCTCTAATTGCCCTATTTTCTATGAGTTTTTCCACTTCTTGTCCATTGCTTGCGCCTTTTTAGTAAAGACACTCCTTAGCTTTTGGTGAATAGGCTTATAATGAGGGTTGACATTGAGGTGGTGGGTGGCGATCTCAGGGTCGATGCCTTCGAGGTCCTCGTGTGACCATGCAAAAATGTCTATGTTGCACCTCAGAAAGTCCGTGAGCTGGCGGGCTAAACCCTTAGGAAGAAAGGAGCTAATGTACACCCTTTTATCTAGAAACTTCTCATCCAACACCATTGGTGTGAGTTCTTCCACCGGCTCTCCTGTCTCTAATGCGGCATCATCCTTAGGGTTGAGCACCTCCACTTGTAGGGCTTCTTGTGGCTTACTGGTCTTCATGGAGGATACATAACATTCTCTTGCTGCAACCTGATCTCCCCGGACCTCTCCAATTCCATTTGGGGTTGAAAAACGGAGGATAAGATGATAAGTGGAGGTCAGGGCTCTTAGGATATTAAGAGCGGGTCACCCCAATATAACGTTGTAGGTGGATGAGCAATCTATTACTAGAAAGTTCACCATCACCGTGGAGTTTCGGGGTACCACGCCAGCGGTGACTAACAAGGTGATGGATCCCTAGGGGGTACACCTTCTTTGCTGAGAATCCGATCAAGGGTGACCTGATGGGATGCAATCTTTCTCTCCCAAGATGGAGCTTTTCATAAGCTTTGCGAACATGATGTCCACTGAGCTGCCGCTATCTGTGAGAATCCTCGGCACTTGGAAGTTGGCCACAGTCATAGTCAACACTAATCGGTCATCATAAGAGTGATGATTCCTTGCAAGTCCTAATCTAAAAAGGAGATGACCTCATCATCTTCTTGCTGTTGTGTCTTGGACGGGCACAGATCGTTAATGTGTCTAGCCTTTATGGAATGAGATTTCATAGCTGAGAGGGATTCTCCTCCTCCTCCTACGATTCCCCCAGAGATGGTTTGAATTTCTCTAAGAAGTTGTTGCTTTTCTTGGTTATGAGTTGGTGGTGGAGCTTGGCCTCTACCAGTGACATACTGGCGCAGCTGATCACGTTGTATAAGCTCTTCTATCTGTCTTTTAAGCTCATAGCAATCGTTGGTATCATGCCCATGGTCACGATGAAAATGACAATACTTGTTCGAATTCCTGCAATTTGGGGGATATTTCATTCTTCCTGGCCACTTTACTGCGGGGTCATCTTGGATCTGAAATAGGATGTGCCAGATAGTGGAGTTGAGTAGAGTGAAGATCTGTTGCTCTCTCTATGGGGTAGGACCAAGTCAATCTTTGGTAGACACCATTTTTGTCCTGCCTCGTTTGTTTCTAGTGTCTCTCTTGTCGTTGCAGTCTCTCTCTTTCTTTTTTTTCCCTTGTTTACGAGGATTCACCTCACTTGGCCCTAGTGATGTCCTCAGTATTCATGTATTTTTGAGTTTCGGTCAATAGCTCTGGCATGCTCTTTGGTGGGTGCTTCACTACTGAGAAGAGGAAGCTTGATGAGCGAAGGCCTTCTAAGAAGGCGATCATGGTTACCTTATCATTGGGTTCCTCAATTTGGAGGACCTCCTCGTTAAAATGAGTGAGGTAACTTCGCAGACACTCATTCCAATCCTACTTTATGCTGAGCAGGTGGGTGACAGGTTTCTAGTGGCGACGTCCTCCGATGATGTGTGACACAAAAGATCTGCTCAATTCAGCAAAGGAGCCGATAGAGGCTGGGATGAGTTTGGCGAACCACTGTCAGGCAGATCCCTTCAAGGTAGCTGGGAAAGCTCTATAAATGACTTCGTCAGGAACATTGTGCAACTACATCAAGGATTTGTAAGTTTCATGGTGATCCAGTGGGGTCTTTTGTGCCATCAAAGGCTTCCACTGATGGCATTTTGAATTTTTGGGGAAGAGGGTAGTTTGCCACTTCTAGTATAAAGGGTGTGTCTGTTCGTCTTACAAGGTATTCAACTGTTTCAGGTCCTTGGGTCTTTATGGAGTTGAAGATGTTCCCTAGTTGGTTTTGTACTTCTTTAATCTTCTTATCCCACTGATTAGGAGCTCCCTCGGAAATGTCATGAAAATGACTCTCATGCTCCACACTTTGATTTTCTCCCTCATCCTCTTGAAAATGAGGGTTTTCACCATAGGAAAAGGGAGCTGGAGGAGGAGGAGGTGGAGCTACCTTGTGGTTTTGATGAGGGGTTCCCCTGCAAGGGGCGCCCAAGGGGGCTCCTAAGGGGACGCCCAGGTGGGGACCTCCTTGGTGGCCAGGGTGAGGAGCTCCTCTACTTTGACGTTCTCTCGGCTGCATACCTCCTTGTTGTCCAGTGATCATCAACTGCAAGATTTGCTGATTTTGAGTTACGAGTTGTTGCATTATTTTCAGCATCTGTTGCGGGTTTGGAAGAAGATTGGTTGGTGGAGGGGCAGCCTCTTCCTCGCATGGTGGCTTATCCTCAGGCTAATTCGTAGATCTAGTGGTGATTGCCATAGATACCAGAAAAAAGAATGGTTGAGTGAAAACTTTGTCGTTCCCATGGATAGCGTCAGGTTGATGATGCACAAATTGGTATTATGCACCACCTGTTAAGTGGTTAATAATTAACGCAATAATTAAGAAGAGAAGGATAACATGAGCAAGACACATATATAGGGTGGTTCAGTCAATTTGAGCTATTCCACTATGAAGGGCTAGGATGACTTAAGTATTTTATTATCGGAGGAGTGTAGGGAGATCAGACGACAGCAGTGAGAGCTCAAGTGAGGTACAAGCTGTGAGAGAGATGAAAGTGATGCAAGATGTGTTCGATGCCCCCATTGGTAGGCGGGGCTTACATTTATACTCGCCTCCTAACAGATTGAGGTGGGTTATTAGTAACTAAAAGACTAATTTGGCAGAGGTGACATGATCTTCTCAACGAATGAGACTATTACAGGGTCCTCCTGAAGACCAGGTCTTAGGTCGACATGACCCTTACTCCAAGGTGTTGTGAATGAGGCTCTTGGCATGACAATGCCTACTCCTTGATGACGTGGCTCTTGGAGCCTTAATGAGCTTAACTAGGTATAGGTCTCTCTTTGAGCTTGGTCCATCGGGTTTTGCCCAGATGAGTACTTTATTCAAGTTGGCCCCCCTTAGCCTATATTGGGCCTTGGGCTGGGCCCATCAAATTGCATTGGAGGTTCCAAAAGTATGGGACTTGCCTCATTTTTGTTCACAATATTTTAATTACATCATTTTGGTCCCTAAAGTATGAGCAATGCTATGTTGACCAAATTATTTACTAAATTTTATATCCTCCTCCACTAAATATTCAATACATTAGATTTTGACACCTCACTTGAGATACAAGATTGGATAAACAAATTTGGGTAACACAGTTTTATCCCTGAAATATTGAATATATTTTTATATGGTCCCTCAAACAAACAACGTCCATATTGGTAATATTTTTTTTTATCATAAACTTGTCATGTAATACGTAAATATGGGTAAAGAATAATTTGGATAACTTTCTTCCCAAATTTCTTCCCAAATTTTGGTCAAAGGACTACTCAAATTACATAATTTTGATCATAAGCGATCCAAAATTTGGTCAAGAGCTACCCATATTATACATTTTTTGTCAAGAACTATCCAAATTTTAATAAAGAGCTATCTAAATTATTTGTTTTTCCATATTTAGGTATCAAGTGATAAGTTTATAATAAAAAATTATTAGCAACGTTGTGTGCTTGAGGAACCACAGAGAAATATATTCCATACTTTAGGGACCAAAATGATGTAATTAAAATATTATGGACCAAAATGAGACAGATTCTATACTTTAGGGACCACTAGTGCAATTAACCCTAAGGATTAAGACTGCCGATTCTATACACGACGGACTCATTTGTTAGACGTATTATGAGAGAATTAAATATTAGATTGTACCATTTTTTATTTAATTGAGACTAATATTTTGTTTGGTAAGCACATTTGATACTGTATTAATTTCAAAAACGTATACTAATCGTATATTTTTTGTACGATAGACTTTTATTGTGGAGATATTTTAATACTACGCAGAGAGGTGATATTATACTCCAACTCAAACGTATTTCTCTACACAAGTCGTAACAGAGCAATTGATAGAGTCGAATTGATGGGGAATCAAAGCAACGATCCTTTGCAGGTCGTCGACGGGAAGATAACGTCGTTGAAATGGCTACGCAACGGCATTTTGAACACCAAAACGGAGCATGCCAATCCAATGGTAGAGATCTCATCTTTTCAGTCACTGTGTGCTCTGCTATGGCAAGCGGTGACACGTGCTTGGAAAATACCATCGTCCAAAACGACGACGTTCAGAATGGCGGTGAATTGTCGTCATCAGTTTGACCAAAAGCTCGATCCGTACTATTTCGGAAACGCAATTCAGAGCATTCTGACATATGCCTCTGCTGGCGACGTTCTGTCACGTGATCTCTGATGGTGTGCCGAGCAGCTGAACAAGAACGTGAAGGCCCATGATAACGCTACGATGAGGCGATGCATAGGGGATTGGGAGTAGGACCCACGGTGTTTCCCGTTGGGAAACTTTGACGGGGCAATGATCACGATGGGAAGTTTGCCAAGATTTCCAATGTATGACAATGATTTCGGGTGGGGCAGAGCCGTAGCCATGCGGAGCTGGCGGGCTAATAAGTTTGATGGTAAGATTTCGGCGTTTTCGGGGAGGGAAGGTGGTGGGACCGTTGATTTGGAGGTGCCCAAGACTATGGCGGGTTTGGAGTTGGATTCAGAGTTCATGTATTATGTGTCAGGTTATTGAATTCTTCATGGTTTGAGTGTGACGGGTTTGTGGATCCTGTGACAGTTATAGTTGGTGATTGGGAGAAGTGGAGGGACATTTTGTCTGTGTTATGTTTTTTAGGTTTTGTATTTAATTTGTTAAGGAAATGTTTAATTTGTGTTTTATTATCACTTACTATAACCATCCCACATTTTTTTTTGTTGCTAATTTGATCTTTTTGAGAGAGGTGGCAGTAAGGTTCAAACCTATGACTTAACAGTCTAATAGTAGGTTACGGTGGTCATTTATTTTTTTTGGTTCAATAGTTGTCTAGATTAGTTTGCACGCGCCTCAACTAACCCCATCTCTAATCTAGTTAAAGGTAGACCATTCACGTCAAATCCAGAGAATTTAAGAGAGATAAATCCCTTATGATCTAACTCAAAGGGGTTGCGGTGGCCATAAAGCCAACTGCTGATCCTCAATTATCCCACTTGTAAAGTTGCACAATTTATGGAGAAAAATGAATTTTTGTCTAACTCATTAAAAAATTGTTCATTGAGAGAGATTCCTAGCATAACGATAATTTTATTTCATTTGGACTTAAAAGTTAAGAGTTTGAGTCGTACAAACAATCTATTTGTATACAAAACTGCATAAATCTAATCCAATTCAAAACTCGCAAAAGTATAAATACTCATGCACCGAATTGCATATACCTAACTTTTTTTTTTTTTTACTTCTTTTTAGAAATAACTTAAATCAATTGCTGATTTTTATTTTTTATATTTTTTAAAAAAACCTTAAACTATGGACCCACATGCACAAAATGAAACATTGCTTCCGGGGTTAACTTTTGTAATTCAAGTTGCCATTATAAAAGGAGGGAAAAAGGATTATGCAGAGAGCTTTGCCTAGTCTTTTTCGAGGCAAACCATCCCTGCCTGTGGGAGTGGGGCTATCAATACATTGAATATCATGGATTCATTGTCATAATCAGTTGTCATCCAAACAAAGAGTATGCTTATAGATTATGTGATCCCAAAACGGATTCACTTTGTCTCTCTGTTTGTATCCGGTAACTAATCACACCCATTAGTCACGGTTACATTTCATCAACATTTTTAAAATCGAAATATTATATTGGATCAATCGAGGAAGTTATAAAATCGAATAAAGAATCATAAAATCCTATTAATTAAAAAAATGAGATAAAAAATATATGTAGCAGTATAAACTTCCCAAAAATAAAACTAGATAAACCTAGTATATATACTAATAGAAATGATATGACAAACATAATTTATTTTTTTTGGATTGGTCAAACATAGAACTTAAAATATGCTTGAAATTTGATAAACTACAACTTGAATACTAAAGAAGGTTTAAAATCAAAGGTGAATTGTTGTAAGTCATGTAGAATTTTGCAAAGAGAAATATGAGGATTGAAGTATTTTGATCTTAAGTTTCAAAGAGAGAGAGACTGGAAAGTTGAAACGTTGTTGAATAATAACATTGAGTATACGACATCTAAACAAAAAAAGAAAAACAAATTAAAAATATCGGACTATTTGGCTATGATCACACGTCGAGAGAGAAAACTAAATCTAACCGTCGCTTTAAACTTTTCAAAGAGAGGCAAATGAATAAAAAGACTCTTTTGTAAACGAAAAACATGAACTAGGTTGCTCAACATCTAAATGCACCTAAGAAGCAACTTAACAACTTGAATCAGTAAGATCACAATTTAGATCGGAATCCTACATTCCCATGTAGATCCAAATCGATTTACTTATAACCCATCATATAAGATCTTAAAATCCAGATCAGAATTTTAATAACCATGCATTCCATACTCCTCGTGTATCAAATACTGCCTATAGCATTAATGGATTTTGATCCCTGTTCCCTAGAAAACTACAAGGCAACCAAAGGGGATATAGGGGGGGTAGCACAACAAAAAAGAGTGAAACAACATTCCACTCTTTTTGGTTTTCAATAATTTGCCTTCTTAATCTTACAGTGTGTGTTGCATAAGAGAACTTAAATCTAATCTTTTTACTCTGAGTGAACTCACATTCCCATAATTCCAATGAAAAATTAAACAAAGGCCCTCTCGAGCCATCAAATTTTGAGAGATTCTACATGGTTTCTTTGTAGCATTTAACCCAACACAAAACAATTTGGATGGAGAACGACAACCAACTAATGCAAAAAATCTCGAATACATTACAACAATTTCTCTAGGACCCCAAAAATTCGCATAGTTCTCATATAAGTGCATAACTTACTAAAATTGACCACATTTTAAAAGAAAAACCACCTTGGCCATACATTTTCCTCTTGAAAAGAGATGGTAGATATCACCTACAGAATCTGAGCAGCGGTGTTCAACTTTTCTGCTAAGCTGAGCTATGTTTAGGTGATGCTTGAGAGTGCATTCTACACATCATCTTCTTTAATGCGTTATATAGGAGATACAGAGGCTGTCTAGTCTCACTATCTTGTGCCACTATCCATTGTCACTGGACTGAAGAAGCACCTTAGAGTAGAATGATATTTTTATGTTTGATTTCCAATTTGTCCTTTAAAACCAAATAAAATAAAGGCTTGAACATCGTGACATGATTTTCTTCTAAAATGGATTTGCCACCGAAAACACCAATTTTTTTTAGTTGTTCAGGGCATTTTCAATCTTCAGCCAAACTCATAAATTTGAGTAAAAACAGGGTAGAAACAACTCACTGTCCTTTATTCAAATTCATACTAAATGAAGGAACACTCAATTTTTTTTACTCAAATCAAGGGAATCTTAAATCTTTACACAAATTTTAAGTAGTCAAATTTTACTCTCTTTTAAAAATTCATTGTCATATTTTATCAACCTTTAAATTTGAGTTTGTCATCTTTTAACATTGAATACTCCATTGCAGTATTTTGTATGAAATCAAACTTTTTACTCAAATTTGAGTAAAAATTTAAGCCAAACACTGACATATTTAAGGTTGGGATAGTGGGGGTAGTTGCCCCCACTCCAATTTAAAACTATTTTGGGCTTCATATGAAAATTTGAAAATCATTTAGGATTTTCCCCCATTATAAAGTTAGCCAAACAAAAAATAAGAGGCACGTTTTTATAGATATGGATATAGAAAATTTGGATTCGATATGATTACATATACACATATATACATATATATTAAATAACATTGAGTTATTATTTAATGATATTGTGTTAAAATTAAATGTAATGTTTTAAAATTCACCTCTAATTTAATTATTTAGATGAAAATAATTTTTTTTAAAGGATTCAACATGAAATTTAAAACTTAGGTTCGTTGAATAATAAGAACGCATACGGATTAAGTTTTTAAATTGGATTCGAATGAATTAATATTTTATGAAAATCTTATCGTTAACAAGCACACTAATGATTTATTTGTAAGGCGCAACGAGTATTGATAATGAAACTTAAAATTTTATCTTATGTTTGGGGAGCAAATTCAGAAATTTAATTCAATATAGTTATGAAATTAGCTGTAAGCTTCAATGTCAGATTAAGTTAACTTTTAATCGCACAATTATAATTGATTAAGTCCTCAAATAAAAACAAATAACATTTTTCTATGTAATATGATTCAATCTTCATCTGAGTACATAATAAAATTCAAACTTAATTGAGTAGTCAAAATAGAAAGCTTGCTTAATTGGTTTGAAGCAATTTAAGAGCAACTTCATTAGCCATTGGGGAAAATGTTATTGTAGTTAATCTAAAAATCATATCAATTATAATCTTCGAGATAAAAATAAATCAATTATAATTGTTGTATTAAAAAATGGGTTTCATCAAGCTCACAACAAACTCAATTGTTATTTGAGCAATATGATTAGGACATAATTTGGGGAATTAAGGATAGTGGACACTGGATTGTTAACAGGTACTAATATTAAATGGACTCCACTATCAATCCGATAGTTATTACACATTAAGTCTCAAATTATATCCCAATAACATTAGTGTTGTTATGAGCAATGTTATTTGAATATAATTTATAAGACTTATTCATTTATATTTATTGAATTGACGGTGAACATCAGTATTTGTTGGAATCAACAATCAATCCTATAATTATGATGGATTAGGTTAATAATTCAAAAATGTTATTTGGATTTAATTTGTTGACTTACTTGAGAGTCCACCGTCAATTCAATAGTTATGAATAATTAAGTGTTTGTAGCTTTGTTCTTGATGGTGCTCGAATTCTCTTTACTTAATCGCAGAATGACGAAGGGGTTAGGCCAAGTGAGGCTTCGTGTGTGCTTGAGATAATGTGAGGTAAGGGTTTGGAGATGAAGCAAAGACCAAAATATGAGTGGTTCACCTTAGCCAACAGACTAAAACTATGTCCACTCTTACCCCTTGAGGATTATATTACTATAAGAAGAAGGTAACAGTTATAGTAGTCTTGGCTAGGAACCTTATACAAAATATTTCTTAGGTAGCTTATGGAACTCTTTTTTTTTTTTTTGTGGCTTCGTCTTCTATTTATATATCTGGTTGTCTAGGGTTTTTGCAATTCTTTTTTTTTTTGACTAATTATGTGGCCACCTTTTCATTTGTCTTGTAGCAAGGTTTATCAGCTTGACGTTTTCCACACCCACGATCTTTGAAATGAAATGTATGCGATATTTTCTTTATTAGGGAATATTTATTCGTTAGAGTCAGACATTGTCCCTCTATCCCTTGGCCACGTGGTGCGACCGAGGTTACTTGAGGCTAGTCTTGTGCTGAGTTCCTTATTCCCGAGTAAGTACATGTCATTGAGCTTGCTGAGACCGGGCTGGTATATATCTCGAGTTGGACGATCCTGAGCTTCTACAACCCTGGGCTATGGTCCAGTCCCATTATATGGTGGGCGCTATTCAGATGGGCCATTTGGGTTGTTCTTTAACGGGTCCACTAGGTGATTTAGGCTTTAAGTTGGCGACTTAAGCTTAAATTGATCATCATCATCACTTCTAATAAATTATGTCGGCAA